GTAGGGTTATAGATACCAGAGTACATGGATATTGGTAATGCACTGGAATTTTAAATTGTTCAGAATTATCTTCCAAAAGCAAACAAATACGAAATACGAAATCAGAAAGGAGCAGTGCGATTTAAGTCACCACTGATGTCACCACCGATGGCTTCACCTCACAACACAGCATGTTCAGAAGAATACAAACAAAAGAGCAATTTCGAGGGAAGAATATGTGCCATACAATACTAGAGCTGTGCAATTAGCCGCACCAAAGAGGAACACATAGTGAGAGAAAAGAGCATATGCATATGTGCAGATTAGGCGCTTTCGAAATGCTTCACAGAATTGTCAGCTAAGAACCCCGGAACCATGCAAGGCAAATATCCAGATAACAAGCGGCACTATTGCAGTACATGTATGCTAAAGGTAGATTGTGCGGCGTACTTTACTGCCGCTGTCGCTGTCCACCGGTACGGAGCTGTATGTGTGCGGCAGTGACGAGCGGTCTTCCAGTCGACCAATCTGAAACTGATTCAGCACGAAGAGCAAACAGAAAATCTGCTTACCTCAAGACCACAACATGGTACTACTTTCCCCATGCAGTCTCACATGTAGAAATGTTTCACACAAGTACTGATACCAGCTGCATTGGAGTAATCAACGTCCAAGCACCCCATTGTACACTCGATCTCAGGACGGTTAACGCTAGCTGCTTCAACCTTGTTGGATTTCATCAGCAGAGCTCGGTTTGACTGGCTAAACAAACCACACTGATCCAGTCTAGTGAACGTGTGTTTCGACAACTCAAGTACTTCTTACTGGTCATACCAAGAGTCCATAAACAAGAGTATGCAACTGTGGTCTCTTTTTCATGGGCCAGATGCGCGGCGCGCTGCCTTCATTACATCATTCAGCTGCAGCCCGCGCAATGCGGAAAATCTAACATCGCACTTTCCCTCTGGTTTCAAATGCACTTTCGTACAGTACTGAAGTTCCCGCGCCAAAATTTAGGGATTGCTTAGGTACTGGAACGAATTGAGCGAAAGCGGATGGGCTCGTACGAGAAATTGTGGGTTTGAGTGCATGCTTTCAGAGCGTGATGGAGGCAAGTTACGTAATGAAGGCAGCGCACCGCGCACTGACCCATAACCATAGTTGCATACTCTTGTTTTATGCACTCTAGGCCATACACAATGCACATCTAAGGCGGTTATTATACATATAATATTCGAACAGCATTTGAAATCACCTGAGTTCTCAACCCATCACGTACCTGTATGCTGCTTGGCATTGGTGAAATGCAGAAAGAGGAATCCTTGGAAATGCTGTCGTACTGTCCAGTACCCTGTAAGTGTGTATTGACAATGGTTCACAGAATCACAGAATCACAGAATCACAGAATCACAGAATCACAGGACAATAGTTATATACATTCCACCAATACTCACTTCATACAAACACGACAGCATAATGAACATACTTTTGGTCATATCACAGTGTGAAAGTGTTTAACCCGTAAAACGACCAGTGCACCGTAAGCATACCTTAGACTTTTGAATTTCCACAGCTCTTATATACAGTAAAACCTGTAACTAACGACCACCCCTTGGTGCCCGGAAAAGTGGTCGTTAGTGGCAGGTGGTCTTTAGTTAGAGGTTTGCACCGCGTGACCATATAATGGATCCCATTATATGATATGTATGTCAAAATGCAGATAATACAATCCCCCACCACTTGCGCACTGACATTCTTCTTTCAGATCATACAACACTTGGAGAGAGAGAAAATCAAGTTTTTTATACACCGGAAGCGAGACGACCTTTTGACACGTATGTCGACTCACTGGGTTTCCAGAGCAGCGCTGGCCTGGCCAGGCAGTGGACTAGTCACTATCGACTCCATCCTCATCTGTAGCTGTGTGCGACTGCACTGGCAACTGGTATCAGTGTGTAGATCTACAGTGGAAACTCAGTCGCTCCGCGACTTGGATGTAGCGAAAACTGTACTGGTGTGTACCAGTACGTGATGCGGCGATGTTGCGAGTTTTCGCACCTTCACTGTAGACTATTATCCGCCATCGTATCCTGGCCTGTGTTCCGTACAGGTGAGTGCCGTAGCATGCGAGCTAGCCAGCACAGACTGTCAGTGTGACCTGGTGACTGAGCTGTGTGATTGCACTTCGACAGAGAGCCGCTCAGTCTTAGTTTCTCCTTCGAGTAGTAACAATTACATCGATCAAAGAGCGCTTTGGATGCGCTCTCCAAGACGTTTCCTATCATGTTTGTTCTTGAAAGCACTTGAAATTATGACAGGTGTAGTGCAGTCCACACTGATTCCACAGTAAAAATGAGACTGCGCTCATTTGTCCAGCTGTAGTATCGAAACGACCATGGAAAATCATCAAAATTTCGAGAAGGAGCTTCAAGCAATGTTTGATTTGCTACATCGCGGTCGCTAGTTACGGGTCAAAATTCGACATTGGGACAAGAAAAGGCGGTCGCTGGTCGCGTTCAGCAAGTAGTCGCTAGTCACAGTGCATTTTGAATGTGAGACCGTCCGTGCCTGACAAAGTGGTCGGTAGTACCAGGCCGGTCGCTAGTCACGGTGGTCGTTAGTTACAGGTTTTACTGTACAGTCAACTTCGCTAATAACGACTGCGGATATAACGACAATTCGCGAAAAACGACCGAATTTCCATGCCCAGAGCAAAGTCCCATCTAACTGTATACATTTAACTTCGGATATAACGACTATCTGAATAACGACAATTCGCGTATAGCGACATGCTTTTAGTGCCCCGTGGTCATATTCACTGCTTGAATAACGACTTTCTGGGCTTTTGACAGCTATTTCAAGTACCTGTCAGTCAAGTACATGTACCTGTCGTGCAGAAGTACCAGAACCTATGGTGCACTGGTGATGGATATTATTTATTGCACACATGCAAGAAAATGCAGCCAAGGGGGGGGGGGGGCTTTTTCTTCCTTTTTTATGTTGGCTTCAAAATTGTTGGGTTTACCAGCACACCTATATGTATACAATGTACATGTAGTTGTACATGATTGTACAGTAATCAATAGTAATCATCATACATGTACATGTACATGTACATACATGTACATGTACATGTACATGTACATACATGTACATGTACATGTATCTCTGGCCCTGTAGATGGCTCAAAAAGCCATATTTTTCAATTGATTTCCCTTGCATATTGAATTTTTAGTTCCTTTCAACTGCAATATGAAAATAAAGTACACATTGACATAGAGCAAGAAAAGAGCTTGATTTTGATATGCATGTCATACTATACAAAATATGGGTTCACATACATTCAAATGGGACTTCGGTTATAAGGACACTTCGCGAATAAGGACATTTTTCTGATGCCCCGCCGAATGCCGTTATTGGCGAAGTTGACTGTACATGTATACGAAAGAATCAATGAGGACCAATGGAGCCCATCAACAGTTTCGAATCGATCTGGTGCAGTTGCTTCTAAAATGCTTGCCATAGAGAATAAAGATAGTTCTACAGACTACGTGTAAGTTACTGGATCACTTGAAGCGCAGATTTTACACCTCCCATCGCAACGAAAATGGCCTAACCATATCGACCGTTGACCCAGGTGGTAATAGTTCGTGGGACTCCATTTACCTTTGCCAGTACCTACAAAGAAGCATGTGAAATCATGGCTCCGGATGCATCACAAACTTAGTAAAATCGGGGATAACACAAGCACAGACATATTAGTTTTCAAGAATTCCAATCCGCAATCCACGAAAACGATCCACTCCCTTACCACACTTCTCCTAGCTTGGTTTGGAGCGTTGCTTGCGTTTTCCATGTTTCGTTGGGAAAGGGAACCAAAGTGAGCCGATGGTGACTGTTCGGAGGTGGGCGCATTGTCTTGCAACTGTCGTTCAGCTTCATTTGTAGTCTCATTGTTATGGTGTATGCCAACTTCATCAACACTCACCGAGTCATCGTCATCAGTCTCCTCTTCAGCTCTGCGCAGCCGAGCAGCTAAAATTGATATTGACAGTTGATTGATGACAGCAAAACAGGACAAGACTTAGAATGACAGCTGATGTGGGGTTTGATATTATGTGTGAGTGGATTGCCGGAAAGCATATATAACATTGCATGTTTCTTCTCCTACTTTCCCTCCATCCTCCTCCTCCCTCCTCTTTGTCCACCCCCACCCCCACAGACACACACACATACACACACTCTCTCTCTCTCTCTGCCTATTTGTTTACATCCTTACAACACAAAATAGCATGGCATCGTGCACAATTCAAAGCAGACATAGATCCACAGCTGCCAAGCATCTGCGGGCCTGGAAAATACGTGGTGGGTTTTTCGCTAAACTTTCAGAAAGACATTCGTCAAGAGGAGACGTGGAGAACATCGAAGACGCAAATGGTTTCACCAAAATCAATTTTCTTGCCATGTTCTGGCTAAACCTTTTGAGACTTCGACGTTGTGTGGTGATGGCTGTGCACCAATATTATTCATTTCTATTCTAAAGACATGGAAATTGTGGGCACAAGTAACAGTTATGCGATCGAGTCCACCAACTAAACCAGATTTTGAACAGTCAGACGTGCACAATCTAGCACAAAACTGACAAGGAGTACTGAGACATTCCACGGCATGAAAGTCAGCTTGAGCACTGCTCGATAGCGCTAACCAACGGCCTTCCAACTTGGAAGGTTCATGGATATTAGTGCTAATTCCAAAGAGGGGAAGGCAATTTCCATGTTACAATTTTTTTCCTTGGCTCACCATCTGAGTTCTATTCTAAAGGCATTCGTCTTAAGCACTCTAGTCTAGTTCCAAGAAAGACTGATATTTTATAGTCTGTAGTTCGACTGGGGCTTTGCACTAGAAGTGTTCAAAAATACTATGACCTTACCCCGAGCCCGGCGGAGTCGAGTTGTAATGACAAGCATCACGATAGAGCACATAACGAAAACCAACCCAGCAATAACCAACATGTAGACGAGGTTGTTTCCTTCAAAGTATGATTCCTTTTCCCCGTCCCGTTGGGTTTCAACGGGGAACGTTGGAAGTGCAGCGTCAGATGTTGAGTGGCCACGGGTGGTTACTTTGCCTGAAGAAAGAATAAGACAAGACGTTCACACAACCCGGCAGTAGAAGTGATGGATTACTACACAAACTACACTGACCGTGTTAGCATCAAGCACTGATCTCTTTAACTCGTGACCTATCGGCACTCAGAGACCACAAGTACCATAGCATCAAGCACATATCTTTAACTCGTGACCTATGCACTCTAAGACCACAAGTACCATCACCTTCACCGGCAAATGATTGTGCCGCTATTGAACTGCCCAAAGTCCCCTGAGATGCTGCCACATCCATGACTAGATTGAACAGCTAAAACAGACCAGTAAAGAGGCATTGCGGTATCATGTGGAGAAATACTGGGGACACCGTCACTAGTTCTGCTACTTCTACTCTTAGCAAACATGCAGACGAGAACCTTCTCAACTGGGTGGCTGCCCACCAGTGGAGGTTCAGGGTATGATAGTATTAGCTTTTAAAAGATGTCCTTTCACAAACAAGCAGAGTCTTGCAAGCATGTACTGTAGTAGTATCAGGCAGTGCTTAGCATGAGATAAAGTGCTCCGATACCTTCCACTTGTAAGGGCACATGCGTACGCAGGACAACCACACCATTGCTCTTGGCTCGGCAGGTGTACAGACCGGTGTCCCGCTCGCTGACGTTGATCAAACGCAGCATGGGATCATGCACGGCATGTTTGACTTGTTTCGCTGACGGAGAATCGCTGTTAGCTGGCGAATACCAGTGCCACGCAATGGTGAGTCCTGATGCCAATGACGAATTAGCCTTGCATAGCAGTGCGACTGTACTACCTGAAGGTACAATGTGAGGCAGCTCCGGCGTGTCAATGTACAGACTGCCAGGGAACTCTGTGGAAGCACAAAGCACACATGAAACCATCAATATTCTGCACAACAAAACCGGAGTCCCTGTTCTGTCACATTCTTAAACAGTAAAACCTGATTTTAAAGTGACCACCCCCGTGGTGCAAGCAAAAACAGTCGTTAAAGCCATGTGGTCTTTAGAACCAGGTCCTATACATTCGCAGTAGATCGGATCGTGTACATACAGTTATGTCCATGAACATGCACTTTCATGATTGTACTCATATTGACACGGGTGTGTGAAGCATGGAACACTTGTGTGCAGGCAAGGCGCCCATGAGTTTCACGTCTCACTCAAGTGCACGTAGTGCACCCTGCACTGGCACTAATGACTTGTCACTTCTGTTGACTGCATGCACTTGCTTCTGAATCTGAGCACGGTCCAACCCTGTTGCAGTCAAGCATGTCAGCCAGGATAGCACTGTTGGCTAGGTTCGGTCACTGTATGCAGCATGGTCGCTAAAACCAGGTCGCAGGTTTTACTCTACCTTGAACTGATTGCATAACCAAAATTAATGCTGTTGTACATAGACATGTTGCTGTAGGCCGGCTAGGCAATCAACACAGCATTGTATGACTTCCACAAATGATATACATGAACTTCAAAGTAATACAAACCTTTCACCGACAAAGAGAATTTCCCGAGAACAATGTCGTCCACATCACAGATACACTGGAAAGCAGTATTGTTCATTGACTTTGAAGCCACAAACGTCATATTCGTCAGTCCAGACGATTCCAGGAGGATTCCGGCCATCGCCGATGACTGCAGCTGATACTGCAACATTTCTGGTTGCCAGACAGGTGAACCACCTAGGCAGGGTGTGACGTCACAGAATGCTGTCACCACGTCACCAACCGTTGACGACAGCTGTGTTGTGTTGGCTGAAGAAGGCAAAGGATACACTTGAAACGTTGTTGTGCCTAATATACATCTGCTTACGGCAAGTTCATTGTTGACTAGCAATGGGTCGATAAGTCCTTAGATCAGTTAGTCCATCCGACACATACATGTAGCACACACTTGAGACCACTCTGGACAACGTTACTTGGCAATATGGCCCATAGACAAGCAATTCACAACTTGTTCCACTATTTTTGAGTCCCCCTTCACAATCAAGATGTGGTTTGTTGACGGAAATAGTGGTTCAGTCAAAGTCTGCATCGGGACCAACCATACTGGTTGCTACAACCCTGACAGGACCAACGTACATTGCAGGCATCATCCCCTGAGGACTCGACCATACTGTCACCCACCATTCAGGTATAGAACAATTCGCACAAGCACAGATAACACACATACAACTTGGTCAGCTGTGGCGCTCCTACCTTCTTCCACATACAGTGAGAACTGTGTGATGGCAAATGAGCTGGGCCCGCTGTAGGGTTGGCTGATATCCACAAAACATGTGCAGATTAGCTGCTGCCACTCATCATCCAGAGTGACATTCAGACTGCCCGATGTGTTCGTGGTAGTGTTCATGCTGTCACCATCACTACAGTTCCAGCTGAATGCCATTGCAATGCCCTGGCTATGCAGAGTCTCGGCCACACGGCATGACATCGTCACCATCTGCCCAGGTCGCAGGGTGCTGTGCTCCGGCAGGGCCACACCGTTCAGCTCTGCAGTGATTCTGGCTGTTCGTGGACGGAGCGCACAAGTGCAAACGCGTACATGCACACACACACACACACACACACACACACACACACACACACACACACACACACACACACACACAAACACACACACACACACACACACACACACACACACAAACACACACACACACACACACACACACATGCACACACACACATGCGCAAGTACAAACACAAACACATGCACACACGCATGCAGGCACAGAAACACACACTCGTACTCATACTTCTGCCCCTCGCTGAAGCGATGATAGCGAACAAGCTATGTTAGACATACTAGTAGCAACTTGCACTTTATACAAACACACATATGGTGAGAAGGAGAGCTCTGTGCTAGAACTTTGCAGCTTACAGTCCATTTCAAAACTATAGACGCGTGAACTCATACGTACGAGCCGTACGTACTGTAGCGCACGACAGCCGTGAGTTTTGCATGAGTGTTTTCTGGTTTTCAGATGTGTTTTTCAGGTTTTTCTTCGTCGCCGCGGGAAATACAAAAGATGCAAAACACGCAAAGTCGCAAATGAAAAGGTGTGGGGAAAGTCTCAAAAGAAATGAAAGTCTCAAATGAATCTTCTTCTTGTTTGCATTTTCTGAGTGCCTGACTGTAATGGCTTCCAAGGCCCGTAAGAATCTCAGTGATGCCGAGAAAGATATGATTAGTCGTGTTCATTGTTTCTTCGAACAAGAGCTGGATTTTGATTGACGCTTGAGTATCCGAAATCCTCGTCGTCGAACTCACCTTGCAACTGGCGTGAGTGAAACCACTGTCACTCGTTGTGTCAGGCGAAGGGAACAGGGAGGCTCAAATCAAATCAAAAAGAGAAAATATAATTATCATCTCTACTGTATTTCACCCAACAAGATCCAAAACATGCAGAAAAGAAGAGAAAAAAAGGCAGGAGGCGTGATGGGATTCGAATGCCCCACACTTGTACTGGAAATCACGGATCGAAACCACGAGGCTACCAGGACCCGTACAAAAATGCACCCGCGATGGTCTGGCAGCACTGTCTCAGCAGGAGCAAAAATCCTAAACAAACTGGTCAAACCCTTAAAACAAACTGGTCAAACCCTTCAAAACAGAAATTACATGTAAAACCGGAAAACCTGGCCTAAAAATAAACTTCAATTGTAGCGAAAACAAAGTATATAGCCAGAATTGTGAAGCGATGCAGAGACGGAATCTGGAGAAAAAACTAAAAATATTTAAATAAATCCCATCGAATTTTGCAAAACACTACGCGTCTATAGTTTTGAAATGCACTGTAGAGAGCGTGTGTGGGCAGGCGTGTGTTTACCGCCATATTGCCAGGTGTGTCTTTACCACCATATTTATCAACACATATGCACATATACACACAGACAAATGCACGCACACTCATCATTGTAAATTTGCAAAGTTTTCATAAGTTTCAGGGGTTTGAAATTGGGAACAAATGCTGAAGAAAAAATTGGCTGCCACCACCAGGGCTTGGACAAGGGACACTCACGCATGGCCACAATTTTAGAGCAACTTTCATCGAGGCGAAATTCACGAAAAGGCAATGAGGCTAAGAATTAGAAAGAAAAAAAGCCACAAGGAACAACCCAAGATTTCTACTAATATTTTCATTGCCTTCTCTTTAGTTTAAAAGATGGATACAGGCTGCACAAGAAACTACCGTATTTCCCCGAATATAAGTCGCACCTTTTTACACTGAACTTCAAGGCCGAAGAAGGGGGGTGCGACTTACAATCGAGTGTGACTTCCTACTAATGTCAGCGTATTAAAACAATATGGCTCAAACCTGGAAGTGGGAGTGCGACTTATAATCGAGTGCGCCATACGGTAACCAGTACAATAATCTTTTTAAGCAATGACTAGGTGAAATAAGCACCAGAAGGTCACTGAGATTAGAGACAACAAACACAGAATAAGGTGTGAAGTGATGATTCTGATGCACATAGAAACATAACAAGTCCAACAATTATGCATTAAAGTGTAGAGATGTGATCAGTGTGATACGCATTGCTATAACAAAAGGCGACAATGAACCAAACTAATCATGCATGGATGTCCTAAACAGTTACCTAACAGCCTGACTGTGCACATGTACTGTTTCTGCTTGCATAGGTTTGGCTTTCTTGTTTTCTTCCTGCCACTGTGATTGAATTCGAATGTGTGTGAGAATCATCACTAACGTCTTTATGTTTGTCCGTGTTGTCAACCTACTAGAAGAAAGTTGCCGGGTTGCTCCCCACATTGGAGCTCGCGCTTTTCCCGCCGATCTGACTTGACACTTGACTGACTCACTGACTCACTGACTGACACTTCACTGACTAACTTGAATCATCGCGGAGGTCACCACCACTATTTAGTCTACCTACTGCTGCTTAAATCACCTACACGTTGTTTAAGGATACTAGTACTGCTTAGTTTCTTCCACCTGTATCCACCTGCAGAGCATGCAATGAAAGGCTAGTGGAGACTTCGGGATGTGGATTGCAAAAATCCTGGCGCTTAGTTTCATTCCCTACAATCAGCAGCAATTTTATTTCATCCATTGATTCAAAATCATGATGCAGATACAGGACCTCCCCGCAGAGTCTCTTTTAGTTTAGCAGTGATAAAATAAAATAATAGTTGTCAAAACTGCTCTGTACGAGACACCTAAAATAATATCTGATGAAACGTAAAATTGCAGGAAACTGTAGAGAGTCTGACCTGTTAGAATCATGTAGACTGCCATGGAATTCGATCTGCCGCACTTGAGTTGCCGATCGCCATCGCAAGGAACACATTTACTATCCAGCTTTCTTCTGAACAGCTCGTTGATGGCAGTACCGCACACGCAGTGCCAATAGTTGCCGATGGCGGCGTACGTGTATTTGGGGTTCTGTGCACGGCAGTATCCGGCACACACCGCCGTGGACTGGAGCGGTGTCGGTGCATCGTAATAGGTGAACGTCTCCACTTCGCTTCCGAGGAGGGCTGTCGGTATAGTCTGATTACCGATGTGACGCTTGTCATACGTGTAGCAACCCAGGTAGGCAACCGCTGGGGACACTGCAGAATCCAGCACAACAAAAGCACAATGCCAGGAAATAGAAACGGTAAGAGTGCATATCCAATGTATAGAAGAAATAGCTGTTTAGTTTACTTCCAAATAGCTGTCTGCTGTTGCGTACCCCCCCCCCCCCCGACATATACACAAGCATTGGCAATTCCATTATGCGTACGGCGCAAGGAACAGTCATGTGATATCTATCTAGGATCAAGTGCTTGGAGAGCCATGATCACACTGCAGTCGTGTACATGTTGATGACTTCACGGGTTGGAGAGCCATGATCACACTACCATGACTGTGTTGATTTGGCTTCGGATATGATTGTTCTTCGCGTCACTGTGTTCTTTGATCCAAACTTTACTGCACGCATATTAGTATCCCTCTGACGAAATAGCCTTATAGGAGAACATTGGGAAATTCAGAATCAACGGATACTGCTCATATTTATGCCATGCACTGCTGTACAGGCGTACCGCCATTGCCAGTACACATTGGTACATGATTCCTGTTTTAAACTACTGGCCACTAGTAGACTCTACGTGTAAAAAAATACTGTAGCTCTCTAGCTCTTACTCCTGTCGTCCTGAGCACTGATGCAGCCACTTACCAACAGAAAGCGATGCATAACTTGCCAAGCACACCCACAGAGAGTCGACACTTGCGCCGCAATGACAACTTGTGTGCCGCGGTCGAGTGGCTTGGCTGCACGGACGACAGACAGCCAAAGAGGCAATGACGTTTCCCTCCGATGCATTCTTCTCGGCTCGCACAAGGTTCCAAGCGCAGAAGCAGTGGCCGCGGTGGTCGAAGGCGTGCAGAGGATATCCGGCCAGCGCACACCTTGTCTCGCAAGCATAATGCTCGTCCGTGGTGCACAAATCCGTCACTGACGACGCATTCCCGCTGCTTCTGTCCTGCTCGAGGAGCTTGGCACCCTGGAGTTTAGTTGACGCAGTGTCGGTGCAGAAGCAGGACGACCCGGCGTGGACCTTTTCCAACACACCTGCAAGTCCATCATCGCGGAAGAACAAGAGCGACAAAATGGAAAGTTTACTTGGTATTCAGTAATCATCAATGTATAAAACCATAATGCGGAACAGCTCGTCGTAACACAAACAGTCTGGCAAAACTGTGTTACAATGTTGCAGGGCATGAACGCCTCGTCGTCGCACACGAAGCGGTCACTAGCTAGCACTGTGATCATACTGCGAACAATGTCAGCTGATATTATGACTAGAACTGTCAGGGTCATCAAGAGCAGATTTTACTCTTGCTTTCGTGTCATAGATAAGACTACCGGTAAAGAAGAGGAGTAGGATCAGTACTGACAGTAGGAGTAAGAAGGCCGTGTTCGCAAAGATGTTGCCGGCACTGGTACTATACTAGTACCTAAAAACAGAGTTCGTCCAGGCCAGGTGTAGACATCTACACACCAGAAGCAAGTTTCCGGAAATCACTCACCTGACAGTAGACATGTCAACAGGGCAACTGCCCGAGCTATTTCATGTTTTTCCACCCAGGCCATTTTCAATTATTTCATCACTCAGAAAGGGCTGTTACTCCAATCGTCTTCAGAAGATCGGAGGCGCTTCTGCGAGAAGACGAAATTAATGTCCGACAACTCCCTCAGTGAAGTCTCTCGAGATCTCCAGCACGTCACGCACGGTCGCTATGGAGTGCAGTGGTCATACACTATCATCGATGCCTGGAAACTGCCAACAACGGAAGAAGGACTGATGTTTCATCGGAGACGATTTCCTCGCGACCCGCAATGAACAATCGTATCCGGCAGCAACGCCACGTTCTCGGTTTGACGGACGGATAGGCGAACGAACTCATCCGAAGTATCAGCCATCCTCGTACCACTCGTGTCGCAGCGACGACCGCTTGCGATGCCGGAGTGCCTGCGTGCTTAATAGTTGGAACCTAGTTTCATACGTGTAGTCACGGACTGTAGAAGTAAATTGATTGCGATTTACTATTGCGTGACTCTCTATCGTCACGAGTCGGAGTTAGGGGTATGTCCCTGCGGTGTTACCTGCTCCACGAGATTCAGCCAGGTGTTGCCATACCGCGACTGTTGGACGCCCCACCTCCATTCACAGCTGTGTCCAGAAGGGTCCAGATTGCCGCAATTAGCCATAATGTGGTAATGAAATAACTATTGCAAGCTGCATGAGGTGATGCGTGTCATGGAGAGGTTCCCCCAGCGTTGCCCGTGGCTAGGACTGGCACTGAAGACACAGTATGAGGTCTGGGATGTGTTACAGGAGGGAGGTGCTGACAGCACTTAGCTCACCTCCAAGGGATTACCACGCCTCTCTGTAGCAGGCTGGAGCTCCCACAAGGTAATTTGCCATTCAGTGTTTTCCACTCCTAACACCCCACAGCGGTCTATGTACATGATGTACGTCCCACATAATCAAGACACAGGTTCGATATGGAGGGTCCTGGGAGGGGGGGGGGGGTGCTTTAGTAGTTTACTGTAATGTTGCTTGGACTCATTGCATGCTGTGTTCATGTTTCAACAATCAGTTTGTCTAAGTAAAGGAGTAAAGCTACAATGCAACGTTAGACAAACTCTGTATTATTGCTCTATGTCATGAAGCCATAATGGCTATAAAATGTAGTTCCTGGAATCCCGTGACGTATAAATGAGACCATAACTTGCTTGTCTGGAAGGATGATAAAATACAATAATTATTAGGTTTTGCTTCCTTTTTGGCCATGATTTTGTTATATTATTTTATTACAACATCTCAAGACTCGGTGGAAACACCGGCCAATGTTAAGAGAGTGGGTGATTACCAACCACTGCGATAAATAAAAAATTAGGGGAGGGAAAAAGAAAGAGTAGCAAAATGAACAGCCACAACAACTCCGTAAAGAAAGATAATGTCAAATATAAACAGTGAAAAACACAGAGACGCAAAGGACATGTGGATAATGAGCTATTTATGTCGTCGTAAATAAGGGGCAGCACGGATCTTAAACGGGCGGAGTGAGGTCAGATCCTTAACTTCTCTGGGTAGAGTGAGCCAAACAGGAAAAGCAATAAAGAGAGGGGAGCGCAAAAGAGTGGAGGAGTTACACTTGATGGCATTGCATGATTCACCCACTCCATACTGTAATCACTCTACTCATGATGGAGTTTCATGCACAAGCAATCACTGAGTCAGGAGCCTATGGCTGACTAGAACTACACTAGGCCACGCTCAATTCCAGCAAGAGAACACGCCCACTGCTAGCGCACTACATCTTTCATACATGTATGCACTCAGATGGTGTCGCACATGTCCTACATTGTACGTACATGTACGTGTAAAGTGTGCGGTAAAGTCTATCCAATGACTATGCCCTTCTTCCGTGGTTGGTTTCACCCTCTCCTCAAATCAATTGGCTGTCTTGACATGCTACAAGGTGCAGAAATAAATAAATAAAATAAATAATGAAGTTGATTGTTCCAACTAGGAACACGTGCTTCTTGCCGAACGTGACACTTGACTGACTCACGACTGTCATCCGGAGCACACGAGGAGCATGTCGCACCTTCCACTCGGCAAACCTGCAAGGAAGCACCACTCCCTGCTCAATACGCGGTGTTTCGGGGAATTCACCCCTCATCAGTTGAGCTTGAGTAGGCCGAGGAAGATTGTGCCTGAAAAGCACCACTTATATACTACACTCCAGGCCAAACCATCACCAGGGATACAAACTTACAGAGACGCTTTGTTTCCAGCGTGACAAATACCTCAGCCTACAACAAACACCTCAGCCTACTCAAGCTCAACTGATAAGGGGTGAATTCCCCGAAACACTGTGTATTGAGCAGGGAGTGGTTCCTTGCAGGTTTGCCGAGTGGAAGGTGCGACGTGCTCCTTGTGTGCTCCGGATGGCAGTCGTAAGTCTGTCAAGTATCAAGTTCGGCAAGAAGTGTGTGTCCCTAGTTGGAACAATCAACTCCGAGGAAGCTGAGGCGCTCCCTTCCTCCCTTATTCCCAATCGAACTGGCGCACTTCCACCGAAACTGGGTGACTGCGCCCTACTAGATGGGGATTTGTATGCAAAATGTCACTAAAAGCGCCATCTCGTTCTTATAAAAGCCCGTATGACCGCGATTGGCCCATATGTTGTAGTCTTTTGGACGCTGAGTCGACTGGTTTTGGTCCGAAAAGGCTGCGATGCAGTGTTCGGCCCCTATTCCCTGAATCAAACATGGCTGAACAAGCGGTCACGTGTTCATGCGTACACCTGAGTCACCTGGTCACCGCGCCAGCAGGCGACAACTTTCACACCAAGGTTCAACTCAAAGGTTCAAAGGTTCAACTCGAGTGACAGAAACTCGCCCAAACATGCTGTAAGTTGTAGCCTGCAGGCACGGTGACCAGGTGACTGGTGTACACACAAACACGTGGCCGCTTGTTCAGCCATGTTCGATTGGGAATCAGGGCCGAACGCTACATCGCAGCCTTTTCGGACCAAAACCAGTCGACTCGGCGTCCAAAAGACTGCAACATATGGGCCAATCGCAGTCATCCGGGCTTTTATAAGAAGGAAATGGCGCTTTTACTTTTTAGTGACATTTTGCATACAAATCCCCATCTACTGAGTAGGGCGCAGTCACCCAGTTTTGGTGGAAGTGTGCGAGTTCGATTGGGAATAAAGGAGGAAGGAAGCGCCTCAGTTTCCTCGGACCAAGACCATTCGACTCAGCACCCCGAAGACTACAACTGGTGAACATTTGATTTTAGGCTTAATAATAATAACAATAATAATACACACAGCTCGCATCTTCCCTGAACCCGTGTTAGACAGGAGCAGAGTCAACGCATCTGTCAACAGTGTCAAGCCAAGTTGGTCTATCTCCTGCAGCTTGGAGAGCGCTCTCCATTAATACTAAAACATTTTCAAAATGTATTTTGCACTCGTAGTGTTCCTGATTTGTGATTTCTAATAATTTTGTATTGCTTGAAATACAGTCACTGACTGTGACAGTATTTCAAACACTGATGATCAAATACTGAAGTACCTGCCAACCATACCGATTTGGCTGGGACCGTCCCGGTATCGAGGGTGGTAACCCAAAGTGCATCAGTTTTTTTGTCGTATGCCTCACAGCTACATTTGTAAACACTTTCATACCTACAATGTAGATATGTCGTTGTCCCGATCTCAGGTTTGCAAAGCCGTTGGCAAGTATGTGATCATGAGACTGAATCATTGCGTGCGGACACGTGTGAGCACATAACACACGTTTGGTGTTGGATACAGTGCGACTCAAAGGGACTTAGCAGCTACGTATAGCCGATGGCAATGATAATTCCTGGGAGATCTGATAGGCCACCGCTGACTCTGAGTGAGAGCCATTCCGACCGGTTGCACCAAGATCAGTGCAGTGACTGGCAGCTTGTGCCATGCACTGTATGGCCAAACCACCACCAACGATGACTTTACCCGAATACGTGCCGAGAGAGTTGCCGAGTCCGCAGCCGTTTCAAGTTGGGCAGCCGGGTGAGATCTCGCCCTTGGTCCCAGTCCCGCATCATACAGAAGCAGGTCATGGACTGGGTGGTGGAGGGATAGAGGCGTATCAAGCACGCTCAGGAGCCTCGGGTCATGATGGCTCAGTGAATCTTGCCCGAGCCTGCAGCCGTAGGCCTGAGGGCTGCAGGCAAGGGCAAGATTCAGCCATCATGACAGACAGAGCGTGCTTGATTTCATTTCTTACAGCACGGAGCAACATATTAGGGAAGGTCAACTGAGAAGGTGGAGGAACCGTTTAGTCCCGAAATTCAGTGACGTCAAACGGTCCCGGTATGGCCTGATTATTCGGAATCTTCTGTCCATGTATTCAAGAAAGAGCTGCGCAAACATTCTTGTCAGTATTCATGTCTACTCGCTGGCATGCCGTTACCCTGTTCATCGTAGTCCTCCCCCCCCCCCCCTTCCCAATCTGTACTCTCTTGTACCATCATCCTTCAATGCGACGGACCCCACGATAGGCGGTCAGCCTTTGGGTCATCCTAATAAAGTTATTATTATTATTAATGCAATGAATATAACTAAATGCGCACTCATATCACAACCATGGGGACGAATCATGTATTCCAGAACGTTTTCTTGTCACAATTATCAATGGAATTCGTGACTAAAGAGAATGATGAAACTACAATAGGATTTATACACTTGCAGTGGAACAGCGAGGATACAAGCATAGTAAGAAAAATAGCACAAACCTAGGAACAATTTGCACAGGTAATAAACTATAACTCATAACCCCATGGTTGTGATATGAGTGCGCATTTAGTTATATTCATTGCATTATTAAGATTATTGTCTCCACGTCGCCTTATTATTATTATTATTATTATTATTATTATTATTATTATTATTTTAATATGGCAATAAGTAGGACGAGCTGAAGCGACATGTGGACTACTTTATTAACAATGTAAGCGATGGAGACGATGCAAGAAACAATCTAAAGGGTAAGGAAAAATACATGTAAGAAGAAAAAGGCAATGGAAAAAAAAAAGATGATTCGAACAAGTTTTCGTACAACACTCTTCAGGAATCACCGTTGTACTAAAGAACAAAATGAGAACAAAGGAAATAATATAGCAATCAAGGTAGGGTGACACGATACAATGACAGCACTAGAATATCGAGGTGCGATTTCTCACAAAAGTGTGCAGAAAACAAGGGTATACAAGTAAGAACTAAGCGTGACAAGTGTGTATCAGCAACAAAAAACAAAAAAACAAAAAAGTGAGAACGAATGATAATAATAACAATAATAAACAAGAAGGTGACAAAACACA